TATCAGCTGAGCTACGAGTCCGCATCGATAGCACTGATTTTTTCCTATTCGAATCACCCTACCGTTGCAGTCGGCTCACATGCTACCTGGTGGAAGCCATATGCCTCTGTAAGTTGAATGGGCGATTCGAATAGGGGAAGATCAGTGTCATCGGCGTGGCCTCGTAACTCAGCTGGTAAAGCTTGCGCTGTTCAAAAAGCGTAAGCGGCTTCTATGAGTGGGTTCGAACCCCACAAACATAGCGGTAATAATAGGGAAGTTAATGATTAAAAAGTGAGTCATTTTCATTTTCATATTCCTTATTGATGGAAGTGTGCAGTTAAAATGAATTACCTAAAACTGTCACCGCAACACGCCAAAAAGGCAGATTTTGAAAGATTGCATCTCATTATTATTGGAAAAATATTCGAAGCATATTCATTTTCCTGTTTTATTATACTGTTATTTTGAACAACTCTGAAAATACTGCTTATTGTAATATGATGTGCATTCATGTAGCCCCAAATAAACTCGTTTGTCTTTCAGTCCAGTTTGTACAACCATTGACCATGCACTACCGTGTACCGGTTTTGGTTGTTGCCTTTTGGCTGCCTATTTGGACGAATATTATGAAAAAGACAGGACAGATTGAATGTAGGACCAAAGAGAAAATTTAGAACTTCATTGCACTAATGTTGCAGAGAAATTGATAAGATGCACGAACGCCACTGTTTATGACACAGCCATATCACTGAGTGTCTCTAACCATCGGGTATGATCATCCCGAGGTCCCCATCCGGGGACCATTTTTGTTGCGGTGTTTTCTAACTAGCTTGAACAAAAATCAGTGGAATTCCGAAACGCTTATCAAATGACCTCCCAGGTGCTAGGTTGCCAAACTGATTCAATGAGGGAAAACAGATTGGAATATTTCTTCATTTCTCTCCGTTCTCTGGGTTGCGCGACCTGTTTGAAAGAGTTTCATCACCAGCAGAACTGATATCTTCTTTGCTGTAACGTTCTCGACGGCTTCAGTCTCTCTCAGTCTCACTGCCTAATAGACTACTCCAGCAGATGCACAATTCAAACATGTGTTGCTTTGGGTCATAAATTGGCGCTAGAAACTAATTGAATGGATAAGTGACGAAGGAAAAATTTATAAACCATGCGAGGACATTTCATGGAGACGTCTTGATTTTTATTTTATCTTGTTATTTAGCTTTGCTGTATGCGATAAATAAAGCCTCTTAGAGAAAACCTTGATACTTTATATCTCTTGAAAAACTATTCCTCTTAGGGTAGACTTAACTAATATGAAAAAATAGACCAGTGTAAAGAGAAAGTGTATTCACTGATCAAAGATATCGTAACATTTGGAACTTAGACATGACGTATTCATTTTTACCGCATCATGACCAAATCATGTTAGGAGTGTATCGTAAAATCGATGCGCCATATGTTGTTTTATTGCGAATGTTATAGTGAATAACACAACGATGTCGGTAGAGAATTAAATTCGCTGACGTTTCGGTTGCCGTGGGTAACTTTTCTCAAGGCAGGTTTTACAATCAAAATATAATCAGAATATAATTCTCTACCGACATCGCTGTGTTATTAACACTATAACATTCACAATGACATATTCAGTTTGATTAAATTTTATATTTTCTCCCCAAAGTTCAGCCTGGAGTTTTAATCTTCACCGATCACCAGTCAGCCCTTTTATCAATAACGAAACAGGAAATCTTATGTCAGGTTTATTTAAAAGCTAAAAAAGATTAGTTGAATAGTCACTTGGTCTTGTTGCCTATATTAACAAAAATTTCTTTCAGGAAACGAACGCTGATCATTCAAAGCTCAGACCAGGTATACACTTTCCATCGGTAGCCATTAGGATGATACTACATGTATCACGTTCTAAAAGATCCCGCTGCGGCTCTACTTGAATTTACCGCAGAAAAACACTTACCAAATGAAAACAAGGCTAAAATGGTTATACATTTAGCATCAAACTCTCAATGTGCTGTTCGTTTTCGGTACGCCAGAACTCTTATCTTTAGACAAGTTGAACTAACGCACTGCTAACTGTGTCCGTAAGAACAGCAAGAGCTTAGCTTTTTATATTGATAGTACGAGGGGACGTAATCACCTGCCGTGTAAAATATTGTGACTCTGTTCCAAAGTGAACCGATAACTAATATCATAAGTTTGAATTGTTTCTATTTAGTTCATCTCCGTTATTTCCTGAAACTTCGGTTGTAATCAAATGAAAGTTTCAAACTAAACCAGTTAACCATCATTGGGTGGGAGCAACACAATGAAGTTCTTCATCAAGCTGAAGCGGTAAGATTCATCAAACTCATTTCCTTAACAAATGAGAAAATTTCGATTGACTGAGGGCAAACTGCAGATGAAATCTTGATTTCCAAATGACGTAATCAGGTTAATAACCAACAGCTTTTTATTCAACAAAACCTATTCGACCGTAATTTTTGCTTCCTTTCCTATTCAAAAACAATTTTCCGAGCGTTATCAAACAACATTCTTGACATATTTCTTACTAGCGGTAAGCTGACAGACTGGTCTTTCGACCGGATGGTATTAATTCTTCCTTCTGCTTCCTAGTATTGATTCAAACTCAGGTCATCTTTGCGAATTTCTCTTTCGGGCTGTCTCGCAACGCGAAATATTTCCGCTTGGCTTCACACACATCCGTGTGTACTCAGTGGAAACTCTCAATTACTGGTGGCTTCTTTTATGTGACATTGACCGCATAAAAAATGATGTTCTTTGTTAAAGGGTCAATAAGTGAGGTGAGCAACTATCTCTAGGTGGGACTAGATCAGGAGGAATTCTGGGATATACTGCTGGCAAAAAAATGAGATACATATCTTGATTGAAAGAATAACCAATCCCGCATGAACAATTATGGTCTTCGCCGGGAAAGATCTTTTATTGTTTATGGAATGGTTCTCGCCGTAAAACAAGAGATAACGAAACTGAGAAGCTAGGAAACACTGCTCAACAGCTTTACTCGTGTTGGGTGTCCTCGGTTGTGTGTATCCTTTGGATCTACGGTCTAAGGTGAGGCGAAATGGAAAGAGAACAAAAATATATATCCAAAGCATTAACTGGTAAGAAAGATTTCGCATCAATTTGTCTCAATTCGAATTGGATGTGATGGGGTTGGCACAACTTTGGTAAAAGTAATATACTCAGGAGATGCTTCTGTTTCTCAGAAAACTTTTCCTTATTTCACAATCATCATTATGACAAGTAGTGGGTTCGAACTTTTATAGTTCTCCTTGACAATGACCAGTTAGGCCTCGGAACTGAGGAACAAAACTCTTGAATAAAGCAGTGCGGTAATCACAAACTGATTGAATGAATATATATATATTTATATATAGTTCCATCCCATAAAGGCTGAGGAGGTTTAAAGTATGTATCTTTCGATACTGTTTCAGAACATTCGTGCATTCAAACTCAAACGGAGATAAAGTCATTCCTTTTGCTTACGTTTCTAATAAAGTCATAAAGTGATTGGCCCGGAAGTGAATTCAGGGAACAGGCGTAGGAGAATAATAGCCATTCCCATTCGCATCACTGGACTAAATGCACATCCTGAGGGAATTGTCAAATGGTCAAGTAGATGTTCTTCTTTTACTGAATAAAGATTACTTACGAAGCAAAACCAAATTTCAAATAGTTTGTCTTGTGTGCACTGCATATGCAGTTGAGTTTATTAGGAAATGCAGAACAATTTTAAACAATTGGGAAAGTCATCGATTTAATTATGAGAATTTTATCATAATAACATTTAATTTGCAAGCTTTTCTGGATAGTTTGAGTGCTAGCGTAGCCATGTTCGGTATGTGTTTTGCACCTTCAAAGTGCAAAATGTTGCTACAAGATTGGGTTGGTTCAGCCCCTAACCTCACTGTGATTGAGGAAGTACTAGATAAAGTAGACAAGTTTTGCTATCTGGACAGCTATATCTCATTCGATGGACGCATTAGAGATGAAGTCTCGGCGCACATACAGAAAGCTCGGTTGACATTCGCCCATTTGAAACATCTGTGGTGCCGTCGCGACATCCGGAAACCCGTGAAGGGTCGAGTATATGCTGCAGCAGTTCGACCAGTCCTGCTCTACGGTGCAGAGACTTGGCCACTACGGGAACAGGATAAAAATAGATAGCCGGTGCTCGAACACCATTATCTACGTCGCAATGCACGAGTCTGGTGGGGTGACCGGACGAGCAATGTCAAGTTTTAGCATAGTGTATGAGGTGGTCTCGGTCATCCACTGGAGCAAGTGGTCGACCTCCATAGATTAAGTTGGTTGGAGCATGTGCTACGTATGTCACCAAATAGGTTACCACAGCGAACGGCAGGTAGCGGTTGGGAAAAGGTTAAGGGAGGTCAAACGAAGACATGGCATGAGGGTATGAAAATGGTAACCAGGAGACTGGGTCAAATAGGTCCCGTTAGGCTCCCTGGCTG